CCCTGGGGAAGATGCACTGATCTTCACCAGTGGAGCCAAGAAAAGCAGACACTTCTTCAAGGAAGCACTTTGCTGCAGTGCAACCAAAGGCATGTACACATTCACAAAGTGAGGTACCACATCCCCTCTAGGTAGATAGTCAGTTGCTAGTTCCTCAACCCCCAAAGATTTCCAGCTTTAAATGTGGATTGAACAAGGTAGCCATCCCACCAGAAATCAAGGTGAAGTGACTTATGTAGACCCCTTCTTGCCATTTCATGAGTCACATAGCTTCATCTCATGGAATAGTGTGAGTTTCCTACATGAGGCACATTCTTCCATTCTGGGGGGACCAAGAAGTGCTGTGGCTCCCTGCTGCCATTAATGTTGAGGTTGGTTATGGTTGCCTTGATGTCAAAAGCAACATGTAACCATCATCAACAACCTTAGCGTACAGAAGAAGGGAGGGCACATGAGGCTCTCAGTTCTTTCAGAAGCCAACCAAGGAACACACTAAACCATTCTGGGGCACTGTGAACTGCCCAGGCAGATAAGAGAACCAGCTCAAAATTCCCCCTGCTCTTCAAATCTAGCCAAGTTCTATCCCAGTGACCAGGTTGTCCGTTAAGAAATTCCAAAGTTCACTGGAAGAACGAGGGGACTACTCAGTGGAAGGCACCAAAGAATCCAAATCACCTATGGAGACAACCTTGAGAAAAACTGTGGAAAAAGTGATAGCCGGCAAGTTAGTTAACCTGTCACCTTCGGGAATCTGTGGACAAGCACCTCAAGATTCCTCAGTTCTACTGCACATCAGACTCCAGTGACACAAACAGCCTTCTGCCACCATGATCTGTCGCATGCCACAAAGCTAATTTTGAATCCAACCTGATATGTTATCCTGAATCCTATTAGCTTTTACCTTCTTTATCAGTTTCCCATGCAGAACCTTGTCAAAGGCCTTGCTGAAATCTATTAAACTGCGTCAACTAGCCCATCCTCATCCAAACACTATGTCAATTCCTCGGAAAATTCAACCAGATTTATTTGGCATGACCTCCTTGGAACAAAGCTGACTATCCCTGATCAAATTTTGCTTCTCTAAATGAAGATTAATTTTCTCCAGTAGTATCCCTTCCACTGATCGGAGACTCACTAGTGTATAGTTCCCTGGTGTATATCTACCAACCTTCTTGTAAAGTGGAACCACATTAGCTGTCCTCCAGTCCTCTGGCACCTCCCCTGTAGCCAGAGACAATTTAAAAATTTGGGTGAGGGCCTTTGTAATTTCCTCCTTCATCTCCCACAGCAGCCTGGGATACAAATCATCCAGATCTGGGGATCTGTCCTCTTTTAAACCCACTGAATTCTCCGATACCTTTTCAGCTCTTATAGCAATCTGCTGAAGAACTTCACAGTACATATTCTCAAAAAGTTTTGTATTTGCAACCCTTATTTTCCTGAGTAAAACCGATATGAAGTCCTCATTTAACACTCTACCAGCGTCCTCCGGCTTCATGCACAGATTGCCCCCATAGTCCTGAATGGCCCTACTCTTTCCTTTGTTATTCTCTTGCCCTTGATATATTTGTAGACTATCTTGGGATTCTCCCTGATCTTGCCCATCAGCGTTTTCTCATGCCTCCTTTTGGTCTTCTTATTGCTTTTTTTAAATGGCCCCTGCACTTTTTATACTCCTCTCGGGCCTCCAATATTTTGCTCCCTTTGTACCCACTATACATTTCTTTTCCTTTTTATCCAGTTCCGAAAATTCCAAGACATCCAGGGTCCTTTGGACTTTTTGCTCCTATATTTCACCCTAAGGGGAATATGCTGGATCTGTACTCTCCTCTGTACCTTTTTCGACTGTCTCCCACTGTTCTATAGATGTACTCTTGCATAGCTGTTCCATCTTTTTTGGTCAGATCCTGCCCTATTTTAATCAAATCTTACCTTCTACTTTATCTTCTACCTTACTCCAGTCCAAAACCTTTTTTTGCATACCATCTGAATCCTTTCGCAGAGCAAGCATAAAATGTATGGTGATCCACTTGCTATCATTAAAATGCTCCTCCATTGCCACCTTGAACACCTGTCCAACTTTGTTGGATTTAGGTCCAGCACTGCACCATCCCTTGTAGGATCATGTACATGTTGATATAAAAAGCTCTTCTGAATACATTTCAAGAAATTTGCCTCCTCTAACTCCTTTATACTATGATTATCTCAATTAAATATTGGGATAGTTGAAATCCCCTAATATAACTAGCCTGTTATTACTTTTACACACGTTAGTGAATTGACAAAATATCTGCTCCTCAATTGCCTGCTGACTATTTGGGCGTCGATAATACACTCCTAACAGTGTGACTGCCCCCTTTTTTTATTCTTAAACTTTACCCACAAAGCTTCATTTGACAATCCTTCCAAGGTATCATCCCTCCTTACTGCAATAACTCACTCCCTAAATAATAAAGCAACACCACCTCCACTTTTGTACCCTCTCCTGTCCTGCCTGAATATCCTACACTTCAGAATATTGAATTGCCAGGGTTGTCCCTCCTTCAACCACATCACTGTGCTGGCAACAACATCACAATTCCACTTGTCGATCCACATCTTTAACTAGTATGTCTGACCTCTAATATACCTGCATTAGAGTAGAGGCCGTCCAGCCTCGCCTTACTCCCTGGAGACACATTATGACAAAACTCCCTCTGCCTTGGTTCCTCTTCTAAGTTATGCTGTGTCTAATGCACTGTGACCCCTGCTGAACGAATTTAAAATCTTCCTAGCATGCAGCGCCGGCAAACCCTCCACAATAATGTTAGTCCCATTCTGGTTAAGGTGAACACTGTACTGCCAGTAGAGGTCCCAGCTTCCCCAGATATGATCCCAGTGATCCAGGTATCTAAAACCCTCCGCCCTGCACCAACTGTTGAGGCATGCATCATCTGTTCTATTTCCTATTTCTGTGTTCACTAGCACGTGACATCAGGAATCATCCTGAGATTATAACCTTCAGGGTCCTGCTTAATCTACTGCCTAGCACCCTGAGCTCTTGTTGCAAGATCTCATCCTTTGGTCTACCTATATCATTGGTACCGATGTATACCACAGCCTCTGTCTTATTACCCTTGCCCTTCATGATGCCCTGAAGTCACTCAGTGACATACCTGATCCTGACACCAAGCTGGCAACACACCATCCTGGAGTCATCTGCAGCTGCAGAAACATCCATCTGTTACCCTAACTAATGAATCCCCTATTGCTAATTACTCTTTATTTCCTCTTCCACCCTTCCTGTACAGTCAGGCTGCTTGTGGTGCCAGAAGCCTGGCTCTGACTGCACATCTTTGAGGTACCAACACCCCCAACAATTTCCAAAGCTGCAATCCAATTAATGAGCGGGACCCCAGTGGACTCCTGCACTACCTGCCTGCATCTCTTTGACTGCATGAATTCTCATTTCCATTCTCATTTTCCCCTCCAGTCCCTTCAGCCTGTGATGTGACCACCTCTCTAGATGTGCTATCCACACAAGTTTCAGCCTCGCAGATGTACCACTGCATCTCCAGCCACTGCATCTCCAGCCACTGCTCAAGCTCTGAAAGCCAGAGCTCAAATTTGTGCAGTTGGGAGCACTTCCTGCACACACGGTCATCCTGGACACCAGTAGGGTCCATGGCTCCCCATGTGTGACAGGAGACGTGTTCCCTGGCCTGCCATAATTTAATCCTCTTTAGTGTTATTAGTTAAATTTATCCCTAAATAATTTTACCCTTCTAAATAACTGCTATTTTGAATAAGTTCCTAAAGATAGTGCCTTTAGCAGCCAATCAGCTCACTGCTTTCGTGCGACATCAGTCCAATTTTTTTTCCCCAGTTCAGGATGAGGGACTTTGTGCTCAGTGCAGATTTATCCTCACCGCTCCGTGCCCCTCTTCTACCTGCTTCCTAGTAAGAAGGCCCAAACACTCAGTTGCAGATCAATATTTGCTGCTCTGTGCCGCTCCTTCCACAGGCTTAAAAACAGATCACCTGGCTCAGCTTTAGGATTATACATGTACGTATGATTATTTATATAAATGATTGGCAAAGTCTCAGATTATTTATTTGTATGATTGTCTATGTCGATATAACTATTTAATGGTAAAAGGTAATGTCACCATAGTCGAGGAGGACCATAGGACTCTCCTCTCATTTGAGAGAGGCAACTGGTGATGGTTTAACCAGAGGGTCAGCACACCTTAGGCGAGGTTAATGGTAACTTTAGTTGGTGTGGGAAGTGAACCTGCACTGCTGGCATCACTCCATGTTACAAACCAGCCATCCAAGCTTACTGATCTCCTATTTAGTTGTTGATCTTTTTTAATCAATCTGTTCAGAGATGTTATTATACACCTGATGAGGGGAGGTGATGGCCTAGTGTATTATCACTGGACTGTTAATCCAGAGACTCAGATAACGTTCTGGGACCTGGGTTCGAATCCTGCCACAGCTGATGGTGGAATTTGAATTTAATAAAATATTTGGAATTAAGAATCTAATGATGACCATGAATCCATTGTCAATTGTCAGGAAAAACCCATCTGGTTCACTCATGCCCTCCTTACCTGGTCTGGTCTACATGTGACTCCAGACCCACAAAAATGTGGTTGACTCTGAACTGCCCCCTGGGCAATTAGGGATGAGCAATAAATGCTGCCTAGCCAGCGATACCCTCATCCCGTTAATGAATAAAACAAACCTCTGGAGCAGGTAGGAATTGAATCTGGGTCTCCTGGTTCAGAGTTGGAGATAGCACATCAAAATGTTTATTTAGTTGTATTTTTGGCTATGTTTACATGGTTATTTGGTTGTATAGTTGTCCATGTTTATACGATTATTTTGCTGTATGGTTGCCTATGTTTGTATGATTATTTAATTGTATAGTTGCCTATATTTATATGATTATTTAGTTGTGTAATTTCTTATATTTATATGATTGTGTAAATTTAAAATTCATTCGATCAATATTTCGTAATTCTGCGGCCGTGCGCTTGCTGCGTCTGCGCAGTTGCCTAGACGTGCCTGCGCACCGACCCGAAAACAACAGTCAGGGCCTGGAGCTGAGGGTGAGTATATCGGAGCAGGAAAACTGGGCCAAAGGGGTTTGAAATAGAAGTGATGAGCGGATTAAAGAGGGAAATCAAAATCCACAATGTTTCACCAACTGTGTGCAGATTGCCGAAATGGTTGTTGATCGGTAGATTGGGCAGAAGAAATGACCTTGAGCCTCGGTGCCATGGCGCTGCAGGGCCCGGATGCCGTACGGTTGGACAGCCGTTGACAGGCCGGATGTTCCTGGGGTGGGTGTCTGATGTTGGCCAGGAGATGGAGGTAGTGGTCCCCGATGTTAGCGAGTGAATCTGACGTACCCTAAGTATTTTTTGACCGAAAGGAAATTAAACTGAAGGTTTATCGAGCGCCTTCTCCAGGAAGTCATAGAGTCATACATCACAGATACCGGACCTTCGGCTCACCATGTTTATGCCAACATGTGGAGGTGCCGGTGTTGGACTGGGGTGGACAAGGTCAGAAATCACACGACATCAGGTTATAGTCCAACAGGTTTATTTGAAAACTCAAGCTTTTGGAGCCTCAATCCTTCTTCAGGTGTTAAGTGAGAGAGATAGTATTAGACACAGAATTTGTAAGTAAAAGATCGAAGACCATCGATGAGGATGTACTAAACAAACGTAAGATGCTGTTAAATCTAATCAGTTAGAAGGTTTTAATTGATTAATATGTATATGTAAATCCTGAATTCCTTTCAAATCACAGTCCTGAGAGAACCTCAACTCGGATCTTGGGTTCATGTCGCACTACAGGTAAACCAAACCACAATATACATTCTCTCACACGCATACGTACACACACACATTCCCATTCACACAAACAGTCTCTCTCTCCCACACACACACACTCTCTCTCATACATGCACACGTGCACTCTGTCTCCTCCCCCACTCCACACGCGCACGCACACACACGAATCTGTGGGGTGTACTTGTATTTGCAGATACATTTTGTTTTGTTCAAAAAGCACACGATTTGATTGACTGTTTATAATGTGGCATTTTATAAATTCCTACTTTAGGAATAAAACCAGTCTGACTCCAAACTAAAACACAAACAGACTCTAAACAAGATCTCACATCTAACATGCATTGTCTGACCTAAAATGTCACCTCTTCTTTATGCTGATAAAACCTTTTAGTTCTCTCGGGACTATGACTTGAAAGGAAATTTGGGTATTTACATACACATATTAATCAATTAAAACATTCAAACTGATTAAAGATTTAACAGCATCTTAGGTTTGTTTAGTACATCCTCATCAATGGTGTGAACCTTTGATCTTTTACTTATAACTTCTGTGCCTGATCTACCTCTCTCACTAATGCCTGAAGAACGAGACTGCAAAAACTTGTGTTTTCAAATAAACCTGTTGGACTATAACCTGGTGTCATGTGATTTCTGATCCTGTTTAAGCCGACTAACAAACACCAAATACACTAATCCCATTTACCAGCACTTGGTCCATAGCCTACTGTACCTGGCATTTTAAGTGCTCATCCAGATGCTTCTTAAATGTTGTGAGAGTACCTGCCTCCACCACCCTCTCAGGCAACATGTTCCATATTTCCACCATCCTCTGGGTGAAATTTTTTTTCTCAGATCTCCTCTAAACCACTTACTCATCGTAAACTTCCATTTGAAGTCTCGTTCAAAAGATTACATCTCTGATAATGCAGCAGTTCAGAGCTGCTCTATGTAGATGTAGGGAATTGCAGAGACACAGCAGGTACCCAGGGATGTTTGCTACATATTAATAAAACTCTGCCTGATACTTAAGCGGAAATTGAACAAGATTTTGTACTAGGAAAAGTTATGGTGAGAAGTTGGTGATTAGGAGAAGAAAGCGAGATGTAAGAGCACAGCAGTGGGGATTAACTTTGTGCCTGCAAGCTGAATGATAGCAACTGTGACACAGGAGACCATTCGGATGATAGGAATAAAAAGGAATGTGGAGCTAGCAACTAACAGAGTAGTTAGGGAGATAACTACTGTTCTGTCCAAATATGACTTTTTTGTGGTTGCAGATGTGTTGTCTACCCGCTGTTAGTAAGTTTCCTTTCTCTCTTAGAAGAAACATTCAGGGCATTCAACTCAGCAAAAGAGATTAGTTTGTGAAACTTCCACACCAGGAGAGTTTGGTAGATAGCTGTAGGATATGAGAATGCAGAACAGTACAGTACTGACATAGACCATTTCGCCCACCATGTCTGCGCTGACCATGATGCCATTCTAAACTAATCCCATCTGCCTGCACATGGTCCATAGTCCTCTATTTCCTGCCTGTTCATGTGATTCAAAATGCGTCTTAAACATTGCTATCATATCTTCTTCTACCACATTCCCTGATAGTGCGCTCCACCCACCTACCACCCTCGGTGTAAAACAACTTGCTTTGCACATCTCCTTTTAAGCTTTCTCCTTCTCACCTTAAACCAATGCCTTTTAGTATTTGACATTTCAACCCTGGGAAAAAGACCGCCACTATTCATGCCTCTCATAAGTTTATATACTGCTATCAGGTCACCTCTCAGCCTCTGATGCTGAAGCGAAATCAACGCAACCTCTCCTTATAGTTAATACACTTCAATCCAAGCAATATTCTGGCAAATCTCTTTTGTACCCTCTACAAAGCCTCCACATCGTTCCTGTAGTGTAGAGACCAGAAGTGCACACAATACTCCAAACGTGGCCTAATTTGCCACACTTGCCTTCATCAGTCAGAATATTGAGTACAGGAATTGGGACGTCATGATACAGCTGTACAAGACATTGGTAAGGCGACATTTGGAGTACTGTGTACAATTCTGATCATCGTGTAAAAGGAAGGATGTTATTAAACTGGAAAGGGTGTGAAATAACTGCACAGAGGCCAGGTTCTGACACCAGGTCACCCTTTATTTACTGGTGCGCAGTACACTGGCTGTGGCCAGCCAGCTTGGACACTATCCTCAATTAAGCAGATTCTAATCTCTTAGCTTTTGTTTTGTTTTTACCCTTACTCTAATGCAATACCGCACTAGTTCTTATGTTCCCCAGCATCCATGTTGTGTGTGCGCGTGTGTAGGTGCAGGATACAGTGAGAAACACCAGTTGTGTAAATAACTCTATTAATATTCCACCACCAGGAATCTCTTGGCTATTCCGGCGCTTCCTTGAATTAAGTCGTCTCTTTTGCTTAGAGGAGGCATTTGGCCAGCATTGGCATTCCACCTGCCATTTCGCCCAGGTCGGGAAATATCAGGCTTAACCTGGTGCAGAGTCTTCTCCCCATCAGCAACTCTGCTGGAGCTATCTCTGTTGTTGCATCTGTGGTGGTCCTATAATCGAACAGGAACTAGGACAGTTTGCTCTCAATTTACACTATAGGCTGCTTCTTTAAGCCTGCCTTCAACGTTTGGACTGCTCTTTCTGCTACACCATTGGATGATGGGGGGTATGGAGCTGTCCTTATGTGTCGAATGTCATTGGACTTTAGGAAATATTCAAATCCCTGCTGGTAAATGACGTCCCATTGCCCGTGACCAGTACTTCCGGGAGTCCGTGTGTCGCAAACAATGCTCGTAGCTTCTTGATCAGCATCCCTAAGTTTGCTCAACGAACTTTATGCACGTCCAACCACTTTGAATGGCCTTCCACAATGACCAGAAACATTAAGCCCATGAAAAGACTGGCATAGTCGACATGTAGCCAAGTCAAAGGTTTACCTGGCCATTCCTACAAATGTGGGGATGCTGCTGGTGGCAATTTTTTGTCCGCATTTTGTAATGACAAGGCCATCTGCAGTGCCTATTAGAAGTCCAGTTAGACCTTGATTAGTAGGTACTTCTACATGGTTTCAGCATTAATCCCACACACCAAACGGTCTCTTAGCATTTCATTCGGGGTTTACCCAAAATCACATGTCTCTGCGAGTTGTCGTAACCTTGTCATAAATTCCAATACAGATCCCCCTGGTTCTCTAACAGCCGAATAAAACTGATAGCGTCTCAGGATTTGAAGAGGTTTGGGGTCGTAATATTCCTTAAATGAATTGTCAACTCTTGAAAGGTTTTAGTGTCTGGTGCTTCTGGGAAAGTTAAACCCCTTCTAATATAAAATGCTGTGGGTCCACATGCAGTCAGAAGGATCATTGTTATTTTTCATTTGCCCCAATGTCATTTGCCTGGAAAAAGTATCGCATGCTCTCGAAATACTGGGCCCAGTCTTTGACAGCAGGATTAAATGAGTCAAGCTTGCTGAATAGAGACATGATGCCAGAAATGCTTATCCGAACTCCAGTATGACAGTTGCAAGTGAGTGTGCCTCGGGCGTGTCCTGTTTCTCCCGTCACCACTGACGTAGCTGCATAGAGGCTGGGTCCCGTTACCAAGTCATCCTTTATTTACTAGTGCACAGGAGTCAATCCTCAACTGAGGAGATTCTAAGCTCGTGGTTATATTTTTTGTTAATTTTTTTTTGTTCAGCAGCAGTGCTAAATTTCCCCCAGCATCCTTGTTGTGCGTGTGCAGGTGTGAGACACAGTAAAAACCACCAGTTGCGCAAATAACTTTATTAGACACCCATGTGACTAAAGAATCAGTAGCAAGCAGAGCCTATGTGAACAAAAAGGTGAAGGGGAGGGTAGGGAACAAATCAAAATGGAATTAGAGGGGGAGATAAAGCACTCCACACCCCGCGGTGCCCACCTGTCCCGAAAGGTATTGAGAGTATTGATGGACACTGCATGCTCCTTCTCCAGGGACATCCGGGCATGAACATAGCCACGGAAAAGGGGCAGGCTGTCAGCTGTAACGACCCCCTCCATGGCCCACTGCCTGGTCCTATTAAAGGCCAGCTTGGCCAGGCCCAGGAGCAGACCAATAAGGAGATCCTCCGACCTGCCCACTCTCCTCTGCACCAGGTGCCCAAAGATTGAGAACGTGGGGAAAAGTGTAATAAAAAACACAAAAGGAGGTCTTTAAGATAACCAGAAAAGGAGTGCAAGTGCCCAGACC